TACAAAATGTTATCCAGAAACGCTGTGCCGTTTTCATGTTGTTCTTGTTTTATGATTAAATAACTAAATTGGTCGAAAACTCATAACGATATTACTTAACAATTTTTATGTTTTTTAAAACTCGCAAACGGGAGCCTCCTTCATCTTTTAACCCTTAATAGTTGTTGTACATCCCGGTACAAACAGCCCATATCACCCTGTACATGAACATCCACACCACCCTGTACACTCAATCCAAAGTGTGCAGACAGACTTTCTGGTGCTTCGATTTAGTTGTATCTGGTGAAAAAGACATTACTTATATGTTGAATATCGCTTATACATTATATAAGTTTGTATCTAGTCCAGACCCAATAAACGTTGTTTCAAGAAAAAGTGTTATATGCGACATGACGAGCATACAAAACAATAGTCATTTAGAAAGCCAACGTATCATACGTACATAAAAATATAGTTTTGTGTTAAATCACAAAAAGATGTGTTAATGGATTTGGCTTACCTCTTAAAAGCTTAAGCCGCGATGTTCATAGCGAGATACACGGAATTTTGTTCCAAGCTTCCTATAATATTTTTAAGTCACGAAGACTGGAAAAATATTACGCTGTACAAGGCGCAAAAGTCAAATTTTACGTGTTTTCCTCGCAAAAGCGCAGTAAGGCAAAGTTTTTACCATATTTTGAATCCCACCAATTCGAAAAGTCTGAAAAGGTTCGTAAGATTTGTATTGTTTTTACTCTACAAGGTGGAAGATAAAGACATTACGCACACTCCTTGTGGAAGGCACAAAAATGCTTTTTGGGCAAGATAACATTTCTTTCAATACATATATGGCTCACTACGTCAAAATTCTCGAAAAACCGTTTCAACGGTAAGACTAACAGACTAAAGTGTTGTCAACATGGCAATTAAAGGCATAAATATTTTTATGTTATGTTGATCAGGAAATTCTCCATCGTTTTTTAGACTATTTTCGCCCTAAAGTTTGATAGAATATACGTATATTACTCACTAGAAAACCGTTTTAGACCTATTCCTTGTTTAACTTTGCAAGTTGAGTTTCAAAAAATGTTAAAACAGAAATATTATGTCATTCGACCATTTTAAGTAACGATATCTCTCATTCATAACATCTTATTATAATTACAACCATGTACTACCTGTTATCATGTTTTTCATTCACATAAAGCGTGAATACATGAAAGTACCAATAAAACTGCCTCCCCACAGCTTTCTATGCTATACCGAACAATCTTCATCCAAGAAGGCAGGATTCAGTGGAACAAGATTGTACCTGAATGGAGCTATCAGGAAAGCTACCTAAATAGCAGCTTGATGAAATAACCCGGTTGTGAATTCTTGGACAGAGAGGTTCGTGCATGGGCTCCTAGCCCAGGTTGATGCCAGATCATCACTGCGAATAGGCACATAACGACCTGAGAAAGATAGAGAGGAAAAGAGAGAGACGATTGTAGGCAGTCGGATGCTCTGGCTACTCTATAGAGAGACAGAATCGCTCCACCTCTTGGCAGGTCTTGTCACAAACCACTGAAGGAGACCCTATCTGTCCAAGAGGACGAGTCAACGTACCCTGAAAAGCGGTAGAATAAATATTTTTAGTGGCGCATAACAACAACTCGGAAAGTGCATATCTCGAAGTCGAATTGCTTCTTGGGAACCACTTATTTCCTTCAGATTATATGCTACCATGGTGTGTTGCTCTCCTGCTTAATGTTCATGAGAGTCGATTTTCACGTTTGTGTTACGTATTACTGAGCTGCTTTGCAGCACAATGAATCAGACGCCCACCTTAGCAGATGGCAGCGTTTCAGAATGTTATGCCCGACCAAACTTTGCAGATAACGGGAAAGAATATAACTGGTAACGCATTGCTCTCTGACGAAACTTCTGGAGGTACAGCCTAATGCTGACTCAGTACTGACTCGTAGAAGTAAAATTTTCTGCTATCGTGACATGGTACCAACACGTCTCAACAATAATAGCAGCGAGTGAGAAGTTGTAGTGTTATTTGTTTAGAGCAAAGTAAGTGCCAATCCTAACGACTTTGAAAGTTCAAAAATAATTTAAAAAAATTTTCAACTTCGCAGCAATCGCAATGCTCCGGTATTTGAGTTCTGCCTTCGAGCGAATACGATTTCAATAATGCCCTGTGACCCTTTATCCATGTTTTTCGTACAGAAGTAACTGAATAACCAAATGGTTGTTTTATGAGCCTGATACCAAAACACTGTGAAAATTTGATGGCCACCACCGTTTAAAAACAATATCCTTCATTGAGAATCGTTTTTGTCCGACATATGTATATTTGTTTTGGGTCAATATATGTAGGTGCAACGAATTGTTTTGTAAAATGAAATTAATTTGTCGTCGAATATTTACTTTCCATCCGTTATTAATACTTACTGTGGTTGCTATTTTCAGGAGCAAAGTATCATCAATTATATTTCGCTATACTCGTCCAATTAGTTTACACACGTAGTAACACACCATGATGCTTTGTCGAGCACATTGTAAAGTTAACTCATACAAAAACTAAATACCTCTCTTCTTGCGTGTCACCGAGCCAGGCTAATGGATCATTACACTGTTGTGCTTCGTCGAGTGCGGATCAGTATAATTATTTTGCGAGCAAATTTAGTGAACTGCCGAAAAGAAAATCAATTAGTATAGGTGAAAGATTGGAGAGAAAACGGCGAAAACTAATTAGCTTTAAACCTAATGTAATAGTGACTGGCTAGAAGCGTTAGAGCCCTTCGCAGTTTCACAAACGTGAAAAATCTATAAATATTGGGTAGAACCGTTAAACCCATGACATATTTCACATAAAATATATAAATGATATTGCGTGCGCAAGTGAATGGGCAATTGATATTTTTAGGTGAATCCAGCTCGGATTCTGATTCCTCAAGAAATATAAGCAGTGCATATAGTACTGGTCAAGCATCTACACATTTAGATCCAGAAAACATAATCATTGAGGCAGCGAGGTCTCTCCCAGTAATTGAAGAACAATCCCAGGATGAAAATCCAGAAATCCTCAGACTCCTGGGCGAAATTTCATCGGGAAGTGAGCTAGTATTTAGAAGTGCGGTTCACAAAGCTCTGGCTAATCGTTGGACCAAGTACTTTACGTTAGTTTTAGAGACATCGGACAAGGAGGACTTGGACAGAAAATACCTCAATCCCGAAAATATTCCTTATTTACCCTTTGTTGAAACCAGAATTGGAAGCGTCTTCGGGCGATCCTGTCAAAAAAGGAGACAAATATGTTTCTACTATTCAGAACCATTTGGGCGTGGCACTTGCTACTATCGCAGGGGTAATTGATGGTATATTGAAAGAGGATGCACTAGCATCGGAAGCAGCTCCGATGGATGACCAATCCAAAGTATTACCCAGTATGGTGGATATCCACAAACCAGAAATATCACGTAAAGGACACTTAAAGTCTACAGAGAGGAAAATCGTCAGAGAAAGTAAACCAGACGAATTTTTGTGTGGTAAAAATTTTGCCGATAAACTCAAAGAAGTTAAGGCCCAATGGAGAACAGGGAAGGAAATGAAGAACGCCCATCCATCTTTGTCAAGACAGCTGCCATCTACCTCAAATAAGGTTTTTCCTGGTAGGTCCTTCAGAGGTAATGCCATGCCGAGATCTTCGGTATCTTTAAACTACCAGCCCAACTTCCGCAAATGGAAAATGAAAGGAAGTCCTCAAGAAAGAGTCTGGGATCAAGTGAAGGATCGCCACATCAAACAAGCGTACCAAAGACGCAATTACCCGAAATAGAGGTGGGTACTAGTATGTTATATATAGTGGCAGAATAAAATATTATATGAAAAATTGGCAGCAATTTACTCAGGATAAGACCATTTTATCGTGGGTCTAGGGATATAACATCCCATTTATCAGAAATTCTTTTCTATAAGGTTATTTCCAAAGAAAATGCAGGAAGATGAGATAAGACACTATTCCGCTGCCCTATTAGATTTAGTGAATAAGGGAGTAATCAGTCAGTGTCAACCAGTAGATAACCAAATTTTATCCTCCTATTTTCTTATACCAAACGCTGACAAAACAAAGCGTTTTATATTAAATCTAAAGAATGTAAATAGGTTCTTGAAAGTCCCTCATTTTAATTTAGATAATTATAAATCTGCTAAAGATTTAATTTCTAGAAATATCTACATGACCACAATCGATTCAAAAGATACCTATTGCATGATACCGATAAATAAAAAATATAAGAAATTTCTTAGGTTCCAGTTTGCCGAAAAACTGTTTTAATTTAATAGCTTGCCTATGGGTTTATCTACGGCACCTTATGTTTTCACTAAGCTTTTGAAACCAATATTTAATTATTTTAGGCAAATTGGGATCCTGGGTATAGTTTCATCCACCTTGCAAAAACTAGGATTTTCGATAAACTTTAAAAAATCCAAAAATGAACCGGGACAAGTTTGTGAATATTTAGGATATGTTTACAATAGTCAGAACATGACATTTTATGTTCCCAAACATAAAAAACAAGCAATTTTAAATGCAATAGATACTTTCATTAGAAATAGAACATATACGTATAAAAGCTTGTTCGGTTGTACAATATAGATGGTTGCATATTTAGAGGTTAGAGCGAGAAAAAATTCTGGGTCTGAAGAGATTTAGAAGTTATAATTCAAAAATCATAGTGTCAAGGATTATTTTTATGGAATTATGTTGGTGGCAACAAAGAATCGACAAATCTTTTAATGAGTTGAGCATTAAAGAATATACTTACGAAATATATACTGACGCTTTCAAAACGGGATGGGGGGCTGCATGTAATACAGAAGTTACCCATGGGTTTTGGAATCAAGAAGATATGAAACATCACATTAATTTTTTCGAACTTTTGGCTATTTATTACGCATTGCAGTGTTTTGCTTCAGAGGCAAAAGACTGTAACATTCTTCTGCATGTAGAAAACAAAACTGCCATAGCCTAGGGTAGAGTGGGGTTATCTGAACAGGTAGGTTAACTGAACACATCGATGTTCCTGCCATCTAGTAATGATAAATTAAACTTGATTTTGCCTGAAAGCGTCTTTTGTTACGTGTGTTGACACTGTTCGGTGCAGATTTTTTTTAATTCGGTTCTAATCTCGTAAATCAGCAAACATATTTTTAATGGCCGCCACGTAAAATTTCTGCTCCCAAGTTTTTTTGTGTTACAGTTAGCAAAATAGAGTTTTAAAATTGGTTTGACGTATATTTTGTTCCAGTAAGTATTTTAGCATTTATTTCTTGTGTTTACCTAAGCTTAACATTATTTTTTATTCAAATTTTTCTTTTGCTTATGTATTGGTGCACAGTGCGTATAACTGGACATCTCATGTATGTGGTTATATGAACAGGTGTTCAGTTAACCTGCGTTATTTATTTATTATTATTTTGTCTACAAATTTAGTTTATTTTTAGAATATGCCAAAAAAAAGACTACGTACTACCAATAACAGATCATATAGTGTAGCAGATCTTAGACAAGCATGTGAAGAAGTCCTGACACATGGTCGAACAACTCGAAGTGTTGCACTTCAGTTTAAAATCCCAAGAATTACTTTAAAAAGGTATGTCGATAAATGTCGGGAAAAAAGCAACTTGGATATAAATTTTCGCCCCAACAACGAACATCTTTTGGCTTTTAGTCCCGATGAAGAATTACTTCTTGAAAAATACTTAGAGCATGCATCTAACATTCACTATGGCTTGTCTTCTAAATAAGCTCGTATTCTAGCTTACGAGTTTGCGGTGGCCAATGGCAAAACCATAAAAGAAAGTTGGTCCTGAGAAGCAATGGTAGGCAAAGAGTGAATGTTTAGATTTATGAACAGGCACAACTTTTCGTTGAGGACGCCAGAAGAAATAAGCTTAAGTAGGGCAACCAGTTTTAATAAGACAAATGTGGAGGCATTTTTTAAAAATTTTAGAGAGATTAAAGAGAGATATAATTTGCAATCTAATGATATATACAATCTAGATGAATCCGGTGTAACCATGGTCCATAAACCTCCTAAGGTTCTTGCAATTAAAGGAAAAAGAAATGTAGGCCAGATGACGTCGGCTGAAAGAGGGACGCTCGTAACTGTTGTAGGAATTATTGGAGCTACAGGACGATATGTTCCTCCTTTTTTAATATTTCCCCGAGTCCACTTTAAAGAAAATATGCTCCATGGAACTCCAGCTGGTTCTAAGGGTGGAGCTTCGCCTTCTGGATGGATGAACAGTCAGTTGTTTCTTCCTGTGTTGCAGCATTTCGTACAAAACGAGAGACCATCTAAAGAACATCCCAAACTAATAATCCTTGATAATCATGAGAGTTACTTAGGTATTGCAGCACTAAATTTTGCTTAGCAAAACGGTATACTCCTTTTGACATTGCCACCCCATTGCAGCCACAAGCTGCAACCATTGGATTTAGCAGTATTTGGGCCATTTAAAAAATATTATGGTGCAAGTTGTGACAGATGGATGGTAAATCATGTCGGAAAACCTATCACTATTTATGACATCGGAAGCCTGGTTGGAGAGGTTTTTTTGCAAGCGTTTACTCCAAAAATATATGCAGTGGATTTCGTGCAGCAGGAATAGAGCCGTTTAATGACCAAATATTTTCGGATGAAGAATTTCTTTTGTCATGTGTTACAAATAGACCAGGGAAAACATCAGAGGAAGAGGCACCACAAGCTGGATCGTCATAAGTATAATACATCACTGCCTAAACCGATTCAACACGTCATGACAGATCCTGTTCTGTCACAATTTCAGCTCTCAAAATATCAAGAATCACAAGCCGGACCATCACAAGCTGAATCGTCGAGCACTGCTAGACTACAAACTGAAAAATCACAAACCAAACCGACTTTATCTTCAATTGAGATAAAAAAGCCGACATTACAAATTATAACTCCTGAACAGATCCGTCCTCACCCCAAAGCTGGTGAACGAAAGTCTACAATTCGACGAAGGAAAGGAAAATCCCTGATTTTGACAGACACTCCTGTCAAAGAGAACATAGAGGAAGAAGCAAGACTTCGAGAAGAAAACGCACACAAAAAAACAAAACAACTAACAAAAAAAAAGAGGCAGTAAAAAGACGTATTCTAGAATACAGCTCTTCTGATGATAAAATCTATGAAGAAAGCTCGGATTCTTTAGAAGAATTTGATGCATATGACGATACTCCACAAGCTGTAACAAAAGGCGATTTTGTAATCGTGAAAGTGTATGGGCAAAATAAATTAAATTTCAGACATTATGTTGGTGAAATTATTCATGCTGTAAATGATGTTTTTTTTTAAAAATAATGAAAATGGCTTTGTTGTAAAAGCTGACATTGTTTGTAAGTTACCCATGCCAGCCAAAAGTAACAGCGCTAGATATGCCAACATGGTGTAATTTCAAGTTGATTTAAATGAATTTGACTTTACAGTTTATTAAAATTACCTACAATATTTTCATACATGTTCAGTATGTTTGACTTTACAGTTTATTAAAAGTATGTATAATATTTTAATGTATCTTTAGTATGTTTCTTATCATAAATAAAAATGATTGTTAAAAAGTGTTGACATATTTTCCATGATATATTTTTTACATGTTTATTATAGCTAGTCGCCTTATTCGCTAGAGGGCTAGACTTGTATTTAGGGTATTAGGTTGGTAATAGTAAATGATGGAAAGCTTGCCAGCCTTCTTATGGTTTAGTGCCCTGAATTTTCCATGCATGGCCATTTTTGCTGTTTAACAATTTATGACAAATTTATTGTATATTTCAATTAAATAACAAAAATGGCGGCGCATGAAGATTCCAGGGCACTAAATCATAAGAAGCTGACAACATTTCCATGTAGAAAGTGTTAGGTAAAAGTAAATTTAAAAAATATATCTTGTTTGTACCTCTGTTCAGTCAACCTGCATAAGTGGTCCAGTTAACCTGACAGGCAGGTTAACTGGACAATTTGATAGGTTTTGAAAAAAGTCAATCTGTCATACACATAAATTTAAATTTAACTTTGAACATTACGTTTTCCAATTACTTACATAACTTCCAAAGCATGGTCATAAAGGTATTTTTTTAGCAACGATTTTCTGGTCAAAAACAAAGTTTAAATTTTGATTTGTCCAGTTAACCCCACTCTACCCTATATTAATAAAATGGGAGGCATTTAATTTGAGAGGTTGAGTAATCTAAGTAGGCAAATATGGCTAAGGTATTCTCTAAAATAGTAAAGAATTTTGGTAACCACAATATTGATTTGTTTGCTAAAACATATACATGTATTTCATGGTTGAAAGAACCAAGAGCCTTGAGATCAGATGCATTTTCAGTTATATGGGATTAATCCTGTAAATTTTACGCGTTTCATCCCTTTCCCATAATTGGACGCGTTTTGAATAAAATAATTAAAGATAAATCTAAAGGAATTTTAGTAGTTCCCTACTGGCCCGATCTTGGTTTTCTTTGTTTCTGAGAATTTCATCAACAAAACCCTTAATTTTTAAACCAATTAGGGGCAACGAAGAATATCTAATTTTAACCTATCGGAATCCTGTTCATAAAGCATCTCCGCAATCTATAAGCCGCTGGACAAAAGATGTAATGTGGCATAAATACTGACCAATGTAAAAGCCACAGTATCACACATGCAACAACGTCCGCGGCTGCTAAAGCGGGAATGAACATTGATAATATAAAGAATTTAGCAGGTTGGACGAAAAAGTCCGAGATATTTGCTAGGTTCTAACAGAGCTTTGCAAAGTGATTTAAATTTCTTAGATTCCAAGCTAATGAATAATAATTAGCAGTTAGTGTTGTAGTCCTTACGTTGGGACATTTTTTTTATATACCTAACATGAATGTTATATTAGTAATATTAAAAATCATCGAATATGTTGTGAGTTAAAGTAAATTTTTGCTATAAAAAGGAGTTCTATGAAAATTATTTCATTGATTAATATTTATTTGCAGTAATAATTGTTACAAAAGAGTAATTATTACTTTTAATAACTTCGTGTGTAATCTAATTGGACGAGTATAGCTCATATAATTTGGAACGAACTTCCTACAGGTAAGTCGTTTGTTCCTTTAATGGTACGTCTGATCCAAAAAACAGAGGTGACATTTGCATGGCTTAAAGTAGGAAAATAACAAAATGGACCCTAAAATCCCCCTTAGAGAGATACACATTGATAATTCCTAAGTCGACAAAAATTATCTTCGAAGCTGATTAAGATATTGACTTAAAATTTTGTATGTTGCGGCCTCATACAGAAGAAACACACAATTAGGATGTAAGCTGAGTTTGAATTATGTGCACTGTAGGATAGCTGGAAGTTTTTTTGCGAAGATTTTTGGACGTTTTACCAGAAAAGTACTGAATTATCAATAAAATGAAGTTCTAAATGTATGCGTCCATTCTCAGACAGACAATACTTCCTCTCACGTTTGATGTACTCGTGTGTGGAGCTTTTGTCTCCAAAATTTAATTGTATTGCATTTTGTGCTTATAATAGTCTGATGCTAACAAGAGCTAAAATGTCAATAAAACATCTCTTGCATTGAGTTTTATAGGTACAAGCTATACTTGTTTTGTATTTTCTTTGTGATACAAAATGAAATGTAGATTGAATCCTTATGATGAAAATGTAATTAAACATACCATTAGATATGACTGCGAATATGTACTAGGTGAATTTTCAATGAGTGGTTGAATTTGGTGAAAAAAATTATCCAGAATAAAGTGATAAACCATCAATTAGCATTTTAGACATTAAACATTCCTAGAATATGTACACTACCCTTCAAAATCTTCCGGGCACATAATTATCGACAAATAATTAAAAATAAAAATAAATAGAATCTAAACTGTACAGCCAAAAAATAATTAGTTATCAAGCCCTCATTGTTCATTCTACTTCCTAGTATGATATGTAGGAATCTCAAATAATAGCTTTTGCAACCCAAGTTATATTTGCTTTAGTCAAAAAAACGTCGTTTCAAATTCAATACCCTTGCGATACTCCTGGTGACGAGCCCTTTCAGGAATATATTATGTTTCACATTGTTTCAGAGTACTTTTTGAGAGTCGGACACCATTTTATGACTTTCCGATCAAATCCATTCCAAAGATCGTATTGAGTTTGGATACTGAGAAAAGGAAAACCCCTGGTTTGCAAATTCAATTATTTTTTAGCAAACAGTTTTCACACAATTAGCAACAGACATTCTTTATCACATCCCCCAGTTTGTTTAGATGAGATTTTTTCATTTAAATATATCAGAAAAGCAGTATATATGAACTATAAATGGCGGTATGGTACACGATGTGAGGCGATCAAACGTTTAAACAAAAAACGAAAGTATCAAATAAGAAACATACTTGCAAATTTCCCATATTTATATATCTTCATGTATTTAAGTTTTTATCATATGGGAAAATTCGTCCAGTTTGTAAAAATCTTTTCTTCATATACGAAAGATAAATAAGCGCAGTAAACACTAAGCACTTTTAGAATCATAAAAACTTGAAATACTGAAGTATGCATGGGACCAACAAATTAGAAATAGATTAGAAAGAGCCGAGCCTATGTGTTTAAATTGCATTGTTTGTTGGGAAAATTGCGTAGTTATAGAATATACTTTAAACTCATTTGACTACCATTGCCTGCCAATCTACCTTCATATGGCTTGTGCCGCTCTTTGCCAATTAAGCAAGAAGTACCATGTACCATGTCCTGAAATCGTCTAACACCACAATTATATACAAACACTCGCAGTTTTAAAAAATTACACTAAAAATGATAATTCAATGTCAACAGATTAACGTATTTCATGTCCACTTGTAGTATGCGCTTTCATCCTGACTACAGACTGAGATTTTGGAGAGAAACAAATCGTAGGCTTGCTTCTTCGACCTAGTCTGTATTTGTTACATGGAACGTATTGAATTATGAGAAACATTGAAAATAAAAATCCTAGCAACTTTAGTCAAAGATAAAAATATGTATAGAGCAATTTCACATACTGAAATACATCTCCATGGAGTAATGGAGTAATTTTTTCTCTTCCAAATATCTTTGTGCGGAATTATCTGTCCATATAGTTAAAACGGACCTGATCCTGCTATTATACAGTGCTTTCCAATAAGCCCTCCCTCCCTTGTTATTTTTAACGGGTAAAGTTGGCCAGTGCACGCCATCCTGGAAGAGTTTTTAAGTGAAATTGGGGGTTATGCATGCGTTACCTAATTTTGTGCCTTGTGCTTACTGTGCAATTCTAGAACATATAACAATTATCTTTTAGTATGGCGAACTGGCAGACAGTTAAAGTCGAGCGTTTCTGTACACTGAGTTCCTTATAACTCAGCAACAAATCACAAATCATCAATATGATACAGTATGTTACATCAATCGTCTTCTTTTGAAAGGATCTTTCCGAGTATGTCAAGGAATATGAAGCATTCCGTTAAAAAAATAGCCGAAATCTGTCAATTTTTTTAAAGGAAGGACCCACAGCTTATTACACATTCGGTTAGTACCTTACGAAAGAGAAGATTGATATAATATAAAGTTTCGATGATAAGCGATTCAATGTACAAATACGCTCAACCTGGACAGCCTGCCAATCCGCCATTTTGATAAATAGTGACTTTATATTTTAAGGTTATGAGGTTCTGAAAAGCACTGTATGCTGTATTTCATTATTTCGGGTAATTTCTCTGTTTAAATTTGGGGGTGCTAGGATTGCTAGGTGCTACATCTGATAGTTATAGATGTGGACGTTAGCAGAAAGTAGCTTCTAAAGGTTCCCTTGCAAAAGTAGAGTAGAACATTATTCGAAGAACAAAATAAGTATGTACCGTTGATATTATTTGACTACAAGTTTGAACTCGGTTGAGCCATTTTGCTGTCGGTAGCGGATTTTGTTGTGAAACAGTTTTTCCTATTGTGTTCTAAACATGAATGAAATCAATTTCTAGCAACGGTTTTGCTTCAGACTTGGGCATAGTGCAACGGAAACTCTTACTAAACTTTAGAAGGCCTACTGCATTGTTAACAGCCCAGGTTTTTCAGTGGTTTAAGGCTTTTTTAGGAGGTAGATGGTTGATTGAAGATGAACCACGAAGCGTGAGGCCTTCATTTTCAAGAATTGATGAAAATATCGACAGAATCCGGGATCTTGTGCATTCAAATCGTCAGCTAACAGTCAGAATTATCGGAGAAGTATTATATTTGACTCACACCACCGTTTACCAGATCAAGAACAACTGGGTGTCACATCACGATAATGCTCCTTGTCACCCAGCAATGTCAGTAAACGAGTTTTTGGCAAGTAAAAACATTCCTGTGACTCCTCAGCCTCCTTATTAGACTCACTTGAGTCATTGTGACTTTTTTCTCTTCCCGAAGTTGAAAAATCACCGCACGGGAAGTCATTTTGGGATAGTTGAAAACATTTAAATGGCTGTAACCGACCAGATGAAGACTAATCCAGTATCGGAGTTCCAGTACTGCTGTGAGGAGTGGAATAACCGTCTCCAGCGCTGTGTGGTTTCAAGGAAGTTATTTTGAGGGTGGCAATATAAAATTGTAATTATATTTGAATGAAAAAAATTGAAAAATCAGTCTCATCACTTAATTTTCAGACCTCGCAGCATGTACTATCGGCATGGGTTCCTAAAAAGACCGTTTCACCTAAAAAATGTGGTTCTACTATCACGACTTAGTATTTTCATTGTAAATATCACACAAAATATTAAAGTCAAGTGAACTATTTACCCGGCAGATTCGAAGAGGACTACTCCAAATCGCTGTCGTCCATTTCATCCCCTCGCATGTTTAGGCGTCTTAACTGAAAACTGACTTCGAGACGAAGACCAAGTAAACGCGCGCGATCTAACGATTAACGATGCTCGGTCGCTAAACCGTCAAAAACAGCTGACGACGCGATGCTGACTGACCGGTTAGCGTCGCGATGCCTGCGGCGTCAGCGTCGGTCGTCGGACCTAGAGGCGGCGTCACAATGGCGAGGCGCGCGCCTCCCTCGGAGCGCTTAGAGCACAACTGTGGAGATCGCGGGCCATACTGATGTCTGCCATTGCCTGTACCAACATGTTTACATTTTTTAGATGGGACACTTTATTCGGTAACACTGGCACCATGTAAACAAAAAAGGCATTGCATGGACAATTATTTTATAATACTATAACATTTATATAAAACATTCTTTCTTCTTCTAAACGCTCATGCTAAAAAATTAGGGGAAGACAATTTAAAACGAGATTCCTTTAAATATTGCTTTTACTTCCCACGCCTACGCGAGAAATTTCTAAAATCAGATATTATGTTATTTATATGACATGTACATCACAAAAAACCATGCTACTCATTTCCGTCGGTCTGTCAGTCTGTGGGTCTGTCAGCTAATATTATAACCGACTATAACTTGAGAAACACCGCTCGGATTTTGATAATTTTTTGACAAAATGTTGCTATTATAAGACCGCAAAAGACTTGTAGTTTTTGAAAACTGGTCCGGTGGCGGCAGAGAAAAAGGCCTAAAATGAAGAAAGTAAAAATTGCTGAAAAGGTGGTGGTAGTTGTAGGGGGGTGGGATGGTTTTCTCTTAATCCACGGCTGCTGCTGACGTCGTGTGCCGACCATAATGACTGTTAGGTTGCGATTACACAGGCATTTTTTGAGCAATTATTGCTCAGCAACACAATGTAGTGCAATTAATGAAGCAACCTGTAACAATTTCAATAAAATGCGAAATTTGTTTCGGCAACATTGTTTGTTAATTGCTCCATATTTATATTCCATATTGCTCAATGTCGCCGACACGAATTTCCGAATATCCACTAGACATGGAAATTTAAGTCAATTTTTTGTCTATCTCACTTGCACGTATTTATTCTATGGTACTACGTCTCGCTTCCGGGGGGATAGCGTGAGTGTGAGCAGAATTCAGCGGCGCCTGCGGCGCTCTGTCTGTTGAGAATTGAGTTGTGTGTGACTGCACGTGGTTGATTAAACAAAACGGCATCATCGTCTTCGTGGAAAAATGAAAAGATTATTAACTTTATTGATGCAATTCACTTGCGTAACAAGAGTCCTTGCTTAAAAATGGACTTCTATAGGTCTTCAGTTCGAAATATCTCATGACGAAGCAGTAAAAAAAATTAAAAATGTACGCACATACTTCAACAGTGAAGTAAAGAAATTAGAGAAGAAACAAAAAAACGGCGGTGGCGCTTTTCAAGATAGCAAATAGGGTTCGCTTTCCAAAGTTTGATTTTTTTAAAAGGCGCAGATGAAACTGATTCAAGAATAGAAACGGAAACACAATCATAGGTAAGTAGTCTAATTTCTCTTTCTATTCAAAACTACTGAACTGAAGCTCATGTATTTTACATCATTATAAAGGGAATTGAAAGACCTTCAAAATAAGGTATCACTCGACCCCCCTTTCCATTCAAGATTTTAAGGTTGGTGTCACCCCCGCTTAGGGGGCTGCACATGTTAACGTGATTTTTTGCCAAACTTGTGTCCCCCTCAAAAACAAAATCGACGGGTCTGAGCGTTTTTCCAAAAAAAACTGAGCTGCCAGTAAATGCGTCTGTTTCGTCTTCGATGCGCCACCCTGTATATTAATGTTGCTGTTGCATGTCGAGCTTCTGAAAGTTATGGAAAGATTGGGATTTAGGGAAACATCACAAATCCTTTTAAAAAATTACCTTTCAGGTCGGGCACAGACTGTCAAAATCTCTAACACTTTCAGTAAAAAAATTTACATCAAGTGCGGTGTGCACCAAAGAACAGTACTAGGCCCACTATTATTTAATATCTACTTAAATGATTTATTTAAAATTAACAGTAGGTACTGCAAAGATTATATGTTTTGCAGACGACACCCTCATATTATATGAAGCTGATGATCGGAGTACCTACACTGAAGCAAATCGTTGAAAAGGATTTTATGAGGATCGTTGACTGGTTTAATAGTAAAATTTTAACAGGCAACTTCAGAAAAAACAAAATCTATTAGATTTACATCCTAATCAAAAAATTTACCTAGCTTCGAACAAATTTCCGTTAATTGTCATGGCCAAGAATCAAAAATCGATAGAGTTAACACTTCAAAATATCATGGAATATTTATAGACTCACATTTAAGGTGGGATAACCATATTAAATATGTTATCAAAAAAATCTGCAATATTGCCTATAAGCTCAAAATTCTTATTAACATTCTTACCGAAAGTTATCTGCGAATCCTGCACCATACCTTAGTTGAAACCCATATAATATACGGCATCCTACATATAGGTATTTCTGACCTAGATATAGCACAAAAAGCCATTTTCCATAAGACAAGATTGTATCCGTTGATCAACTTGTATCAGTTAACAGGGTTACTTGATACTACATAGACAACTTTATTTCTTACATGTACCACCTTATACCAATAAGCATTATGATAAAAAAAAAAATTCTTAAATACGAGCATAACACACAATTTCGACTAGGCTCATCTAATATCCAAAGACCACACAAAACATTATTTAAAAAATCATTTAAATTCTTATCAGCTAAGGCCCGTATCGTCAGTCGTCCCTACAATTGTAGGGCTCGTTTATGGCCTTCTTGATTTCGATATTACGTCTTCTTCGTTAACGTACATGTATGTCCGCCTTTTGATTTCCGACATATTGACAGTTCTGGCTTGAGGTTGTTTTGACGTTTATGACAGCAGAACCATAATTTATAATTTTCTTGAAAATAATATCGATCACTCAAAAATACCTGGCTACATTGAACAAATTCCACAGCCTGTGGTATCTTCGAGAAATTGTTGAGTTAGGAAAATTAATGCACATGGATATATTATATTATAATATTATATTTGTGTGTATGGAAGTCCAGAAGCTTACTACCAAGCTATTCTCTTGATGGAGGTTGGTAAGTTACAACACAAATCATTGCATATCCATATGATATACTTATCGCATTATTTTCAGGTGTAATTCATTCAAACAGACTTTACAAGAAGTTGGTTCCTCCATGGATAACAAACATATCCCGAATGCAATTGCATTGTTGATGTCAAGATGCCTGTTCACAAATCACTACTGGACTGTCAGTGTCAAGCTACAAATATGTACAATGTGTGTATGTGAAGATGGTAATTACCATTTATCATTGTTATTTCAGGATGCTCGAAATACCATATCCATGTAGGATTACCAAATATGAAGTATTACAGGGAGTAAACACTGTTGTAGCATGAATTTAAATCAGAAAAACTTCATGACATAAAATTCCACAATTAATTACAAATGGAAAAATACAAGAAAATTCTGACTCATCCAGGGAATCACTTTCCTGTTAAACAAATTTCAAACACTTTAAAGGTCTAGATAAGCAGAAAAGACCCATTATTTTGAAAAGTGTACCTCAAAGTCAGGCTAGGTTAAGCCCCAATAAGTGAGATAATAAGGTAATTGCGTTTCAGATAATTTGTCTTGTATTGTATCATATGCGTCTTAACATAACTTATAAAGTTAAGTAAATTTGCTGATCATTACAGGTAGGTCTTACCTGGCTCTGAGATACAAAATTTCATTTGAATTTAAACTTCTAGGTATAAATTGTGGTTTTAAATTATTATTTATAATTGAGACTCCAGCTACTGAGGATACCAAAAAAATAAAACAGCGGCAATAATAAGATTGATGCACTGAGCCTCAAAGAACAGTATGTTGTACTTTTTAAATGTGTTACAGCATATATTAGTGTAGTAGCATATTGATAAGGAAAAAAGTAAGGAAACTTAAATTTTTCAATCGTTTTATTAAGAAATTCAAATCTCAATACTGAAAGTTTTTAATTGATTTGGAACCCCAACTTAAAAGGGAAAATCTATCAAAAGTATGCCATGTGAAAGGAAAGCATTTTCGGGTTGAAAAAGAAATATCAAGAATTAAACTGGTTTAATATTTGCAACACTCATATGAAATGCAGAGTTTGTTAGTTATGATAGAAACAGTAAAAAAAATCTTTGGCTCAAAAGTGTGTATTTACCTCTTGTAATACTAGGAGCTGCAATTCAGTGTGTTTCCTACATGAGTGACGAGGCATTTCTTTAATTTCCACCAGTGATGCTATTAAGGAATTTCACGTGCTTATTTTGACAGGCAGTAATGGTATGCCACTGATGTCTCTTTTATCAAAATTTTCAATCACATCCAAGCAAATTTAATCACTTGAATGTTTTTCAATCTGATGTACGGTTTTCATAAAAATAAAAACTGTCTCTGAATATTGTTGATATGACACCATGCAGCGAAATAGTTTCTATTTTTGGGTGGAAATCATAGGTGTGATCAAAAAAAATTATTTTCAAAAATACTGTTTATTTAATACATAGTGACATTGTGATACTAACGATATTAGGATCATGCAAAGAAACAGTATTTTAATTTCATAAAATTTGCTCAGAAATCACTGATGATTTTAAGAGCAATTTTTATTTTAAGAGAAATCAGTTGCCTACTATCATTGTCTGCCAAAATAGGCAAGTGAAATTCGTACGAACGCCACTGGTGGGAATTGAAAGAATGTTGCATTACAAATACCTCTTGATGTACATGTATGCCAAACTTTGATAAAGTATTTAAAGTGGTATTCCAGATCTTTACAAAAACTTTTATTAATTTTTGAAAAGTTTACCACTCTGTTTCTCAAAGGTCAAGAGATTTAGGATATACGTCATATGAAATATTCTTCTTAAAATGGACTCAAAGTTACCCCCTTAAATATAGACATTCAATTGGAAAACACCCTGAGTATTTTATGTAAGTAAATTAAAAATGAATAACGCTTATTGTGATACACTGTTGTAGTTTTTCATTTTTGATATATTGTTTTTTTGGCTTCATATTCATAATTCCTGTAATTAGTTGTCCTTTTGGTATAAAGTCAACATTGGATTGGCGATACTTACGTTTTGACATACTACGTATGAGTTCATTAACAATTTCATGTATTATACTTTTCAGATGGCAAGTATTTGTGGAATGTAATTAAAAGCATCATTGGTAAAATCAATATTTATTTAGACATATAATAGGTTCTTTCAGAAATATATGGAAATACAGATTTCATCAATTTGTAATTCTTCTTTTCTCTTAAAACAAATGTTTCATCATTCTGTTAACAATATTGTATGCTACTTTCAAAATTAGAAGCTCTACAAACAAAGCACTGTCTGGACAAACAATTTAAATATATCGACTCTTCTTTTTCCTCTAATAACGTGCTTACACTGGAATTATTCTCTCCTGCAACAGTATCTTGGAATCTCGGCTTCTCAGGATGGGATGTATCTTTGGGCAATGCAAGTAGATCTGAAAAAATATCATTAAAAGGGTGATTTCTTACATTTTACTCCTTAGCACCAATACAACCATAAGTGTTGAAATATGTATTTCATATAGTCTTTAGTTACACCACTGGAATTTTATTTTTGTCATTGTCATCATTTGCTACTGTGCTTCCATTGTGTGAAGTATTTAATTACTCAGGACAATTGTTGGCCAAAGGTGGTCAATAACGAAGAAAAAGGTAATGATTTTCTACAATAAAAATGTCGATTACAATATTCAAGAATGCACTTTATCGAGTTCTGCAAGACATTTCAGCTATCCAACATGCAACATTAACCATTCGAGAACCAATTGCCTAAGCATAACAAAGTTCATCTTGAGCTCCATAACTTTAAAACTCTTATGATTATACATACAGGCTTATGCATTCCTTAAACTAACAAATTCTACTGTAACAATATCGAACACAAAAGGCAAACTCATGTGTTTCAAAATGGTGTGGTTACTACAGGATTGGCTTTATCAGCGGTGCTAGGATGCTTCCATGTGCCTGAATGTGTAAATTCCTTCTTATGAAGATCATTCAGCTCTCTATCGTTCTTAGTTGACTTCTGTTGGCAATTTCAGGATTAACTTTTTTGCAATATATCAATCCCTCACATTATTTTTACCAATGTTTACACCTTGATCACAATATAGGTTGGCCTTGGTTAAGCTGTCAATTCTAAATATTCAACTGTTCTGTTTGAACCGATTCTACGCTTTGTTTTTGCCCTGAGGCTCACTGCATCATTTTTCTTATTTCCAATCACACTGTTGTATTGTTTACCATGGTCAGCAGCTGAAGCTTTTATTTTTGACGAATATTTTTCTTTTGTAGTCTGCATTATCAACAGGAACTAAAAACCACAATTTATACACATAATATATACACAGAACATTCAAATATTTGAAATTGACAGTTTGAAGATAGCTTCCCATTTAAAACAAAACTTTTTCTGCTTATATCAATATATATATATATATATATATATATATGTGGGCATTATATTTTTTTTATATATATATATATATTTTTTGACTTGAGACGTGGTCATTGTCGTCTAGACCAGTTAGGTGAAAAATTAAAGCTTCCGCCTTTTGTTGGGTACTTCGACAAAATTTAAGCAAAGAAGACTCTTTATACTTTTTTAATTCTCTCTAGCTTTCAATGGACTTTGCCATCATCATCAGGAGAGTAGTATGTGAGGATGTTGCTAATTGTTGTTTACGTATAGGATGAGGGAAACGTCCAGTAACATGGTGAGAGCTGGATAGATTGTACAATGGTCAAAATTATATAAAATATGACAGAAACAAGTTAAAAACAGATTAAAAATTATTTAAAAAACATTAGAGCATTACATCGTGAAGCCACTTGATGATTGTACAAAATAGTGTAAACAAAAAAGCTAGAGAGAATTAAAAAAGTATAAAGAGTCCTCTTTGCTTAAATTTTGTCGAAGTACCCAACAAAAGGCGGAAGCTTTAATTTTTCACCCATATATATATATATATATATATATATATATATATATATATATATATATATATGCCCACAAGGCTAATATTGTAAAACAATTTGGTTAGGAGATTATGGATTTCTTGACTTGTTATCGAGATTCATAAACTTTGGTTAGGATTACCATTACAAACAGGAATAGGCCCGGAAAGTACCCAGCCAAGAACGGTTTTCTGTAAGGTGTGTAGGTTTTTCCCAAGGCGTATCTGTCCAATGCAAATCAAAATGTAGAAGATTTCGGCACCCAGAAGCATGTCGACTTTGGAGCTTTCGAAGTAAGTAGGATCAGCAAGATTTAAGTGACCTGGAATGTTCAAAGAAGAAACATCAATTGTTTGATTAGGTAAGTTATGATTTATCGTTGGAAGTAGCAGGCAATGAACCGTTGCAGTGTAAGAAATGTGTACGGATTCGAAGGTAACCTTGCCGGTTTTGTTGATAGGAGAGGCTACTTGATTTATCCCTAACACGGAGATTTGAAAAGGTAAGGTACACAATCCTAAGTGTTATGAAGTTGGACTGTGATCCTGAATCAAGTGAGAGTCGCAGGGATTGCGACGTGCCCTGCCTGTCTTTGACATAGACCACGGCTGTTGAAAGCAGCGTTTGCACAGGCCCAGGAGAACTGTAATTCGCGCTGCCACTGAATGTCCCGACCACAGGATTTCTAGGAGTAGGAGCTGATGAAGTATTGTGTTCAGAGGATCTGTGGTGAAGTCATTGTGGAGCAAAGTATTATGCCGTTTCTTGCATTTTCGGCAAGCACCAGCCATGCAATTCCTAAGTGGGTCAGTGCCCCGCAAACAGTTTAAGCATAATGTTTCTATGTTAGACATAGACAAACAGAATTTTATTGTCTAAACAAACTGTATTGCTAATTTGCATATATCCGACAAAGATAGGCGATGTTTTCATGTTGCATGATCGATCATATTTGAAAGATGAATAGTTAGGTTAGGTTAAAGCAGGTTATGTCGTTTTCGAATAATACTTTGGTCTTTTGTGTTCCTATCTTAAGGTATTCTACTCATAACTGTTTTTTTTCAAAACAAAAACTCCCCACTAAAATTATTATTAAAGTATCACTCGAAACCATGAAATAATATGAAAATAAAAATAATCAGTGAAATAACCTAACTTCGCAATTTCATAATATAAATTTGTTGTCATTATGTTCCTGACATCGCGATTTTATCATCGACGTACGTCCATTGATTACTTCAGTACAATTTATGTTATTATGACGTAATAGTCATCTTTCGTGATTTTGACTATAGAAGAAAATGAGTTGTTCTATTAGAGCCAAACTATACAGGCGGACTTCCGCTGAATATTGGTAGCTCTACACAAAGCGAATTTTCCGTCGAGTACATTTACGGCAATAATACCACTTCTTTTTTTTTTTAGTTACAATATAGATCCCATTGTGTTAGGTTGCGCTGCTGTTAAGAACTGTACCTCTAACGGAGATCCGTCCCCTCGTCTAGTTTACTCCGTACTAAACAACCTGTTGCGTTGTGACCTCGACGCTATCAACGCATTCGAAAGCGTGCAATACGCCCATTGCCGACGGAAATAAAGACAACGCGGCGTATTTTCCGTTCGTCTATTTCGCTCGTTTAACGGCACGTTTTTCGATTAGGACGTGCAAACCGTCGCGTAAAATACGCCGCGGAAAATCGCTCGTATAGTTTGGCTCTTATACAATTTCACCAAAACGTTAGGTGTTGTACCTACTCCAGATTCCAAAGTTCATCAACTCAAAAAAAAATGTAGGTAGTTTAAATAAGAACGACTTTAATAAAATTTGTAGTTGCGAAAAACCTACCTTCGAAACATCCAGCCATCCAGACACAAATAAAAGAGGCTAACTGAAAATGTCAGCTATAAACCGTCAAACTTGTCAAGGCCGGCATTTTTTCTGGATGCCAACAGTGTTGTCAGGTTGTGGTTCAGCAACATCGCACTGTTTCCCATTCTCCCATATTGAGTTGACTCCCCAACAACATCTCTGAATACGGTCCCCAAATTCATTATCGCCAACGTTACAAATTAACACAAAGATGTCGCTTTTGTGATCAGCTGTTCATCACAAAGCGTGATGGATACTCGTGAAATAAGATATACCATTCCACGGAGGAGCCGACACACTATCCATACAATAGTCTGTTAACACCGGCCGTGATTATTTTTCGTATATCCAGAAACTGAAACTTCAGTAATACATGACATTGAGGGTCACCATCATCCAGTCATATTGGAGGTAGGATCCGAACATAACCATGAAGAATCCTTCAAAATGTATTGACTGGGAACTAGTCTATACTTGCGGCATTTCCCAATATTAGGGTTATAGGTACTGAGAGCGAACTAGATGATTTGTCGGAGTCGACAAGGTTCATGCAAGAGGTAACTATTCGTCATTTGTTTGTCTGGGCGGTCCGGAGGACCTTTGCCCATTAGTCACTGTCTAATGTACGTTAGTCGAATCTGTCAGTCCTGGTTGCCCAGAAACCAGACAATGTCAAGGAAAAAGAGAAAGGGAAAAAGAAGAAAAAAGGAGAAGAGCAAAGAAAAACAAAAGTGTTTAGTTTAAGAGGAAACACCTAGGCTTTTTGACTTGGTGCACGAATTAATTTTGAGGTGAACTAAACAAAGTTCAAGCCATGCCATGAAGATATACTCCTGAGGTTTCTACAACATATATAAGCTTGTTGGTGGCACAATTATTCGTTTGGATTCTGCATTCCCTATACTGGCATCTGGAATGAGGTCAAATTTGGAGAACATTGAGGCGATTGCAATTGCTATGGCAGTGTTGGATAACATTGCTAAACTCCTGAATGAGGTAGACTAATAATAATGAGGAAGAGGCAGCAATAAACTCAATTGGCAATGTAAATACTCAGTCTTATATGAACAATTACAATATGCATAATATTATAAGAAATCAATTAATACATTATTTTGATGAGATTTAAACTGAAGAAATTTATAAACATATTAACAGGGAATTCGCTCATACATGCTTAAAATTACTGTTTAGTATGTTTTCGTTACTCTTGACTTGCAAAAGATGAATTATTTAAAGTTAGGCATTATTTAAACTTTCAAAATTTAAATTGAACGCTGCTAGTAGTTAGTGCAGTTAAAGTTCAAATATTTTATTATTTGTAATTTTATAACCAACCTACTGAGCGGGGCCGTGGCAAATGCTTGTTCCGGAAGTTGTTGATTCCAGTATACAATTTCTTCCCGTTAAAGTGATTGTACACGCTTTAATAAATACCTCAGTACCGATTGCCGGGTGGCGGTACAAGTCCAGTCGACCGAGGCGGTACCACCCGCTAGCTTTTCCCAGGGTGCCTTATAAATGTCCGCATGTTTCCACACCTAAGCTATGCAGTCGGTTATCTTCCAAAACAAAGAAATTAATGATGAAGCATCCCTCGAGCACTAAGAATTCCGGACGTAAACTCACTCCACACTCGGAATGTCCGTGTGGAGGGTGGGCTCGAGGGAACAACATCGAATATAAAATTTGTTTTACGAACATCTGCGGGATTAACAGCAGCATTGATGCTATTCATCACTACTTGCAATCCAATCGTCCCGCCATATAAAAGTTAGGCACAGTGTAATGTCGCTGCGCAATAGCTGTCGGTCTTTCTGGACGTTGGCTAAGCAGATTGAAAAGAACTTCTCACACCACTTACGTGTCAGGATGGAACGACTGTATCTGACTCAAAGTGTTTGCCAAGATCTTTGCTGCCCCCCAACACCCAAGTGTCATCAATATCAATTCAAAGGGTTCCCTACACTATGCGGGAGGTACCATTCAGGCATAAGACCGTAAGATGAGTGCTCTTGTTGCTCGACATCAACAAAGCTTCTAGTCCGGACTTGATTCCTGCCATTGTACTGAAGAGGTGTGCAGCGGATCTTGCTCCAGTTCTTTCGCGTCTCTTCCAGATATCTTATGAATCCGGCACCTTCCCAGAAAACTGGAAATTTGCTCATGACCAACCCATCCCAAAAAAAAAAAAAAATCTAAGACCGACCGTTACAACTACAGGCCCATAGCTCTGCTTTCTGTCATAAGTAGGGTGATGGAGAGGTGCATAAATCGCGAGCTTCTGGACTATCTCGAACGTCACAGCTTGATTTGCGACAGGTAGTATGGTTTCCGGCACCAACAATCCACAGGGGACCTCCTAGCGTACGTCACGTAATTGTGGAGTAAACTCATCCAGTCTTACGCTCCTTTCACACGTAACGATTTTGGTCGTATGGAAAAAAGACATACGACTTTTTATCGTAGCTGACTTGCTTTCACACACAAAGATATATTATCATTGTTTTAGTCTAGTGTACATCTTGAGCATAGGGCGTCGCAATGAATCGGGCAAAAATTGTTGCGTGTTGGTTAATTTATCGTCGTAGAAAAAGGCAGAAACGTAATCGCCTACATTGGGTCCATCCGATCAATGAAAGGAGAGAAGAAACAGGTTTATTTCACACACTTTTTGAAGATCTAAGAAATGACGAAAAGAAATTTTTCAATTATTTCCGCATGTCAATGGCTTCCTTCGATGAATTACATGACAAACTGAAGAATGTTCTTCGACGTCAAAATACAAAAATGAGAAATTGCATTCAACCCATTGAAATGTTGGCTGTGACTTTGAGGTAAGTTAGAAAATATGTCTATGAATTAGGTACATGTGTGCTTTAACAATTACACGTTTGAAAACTGGATCATACAATAATTCATTGAATAGGTATATTTATATTTTATATTTATTAACAATATGAAAGTAGTCGAAATACATTAGAGGGTAGTAAAATCTATACTATTAACTGTGCAAGAGTCCTGAGGAAGTGGAGTCGAGCTCTCCCTCGGATCCGTCATTGGGGAGGACATTCCTGATGACTGGCCGCAATCTTGATAATACTGTCGTGCTGATTGCGTACACTGATTACTAGTCAATGAAGGCTGAGTAGGAAGAAGTTGCGTAAAGGATGGTGTAGAATGTGCTGTCAATGACTGGGAGTGAGTGAATGGAGAATGTTGAGGAAAACCAGAAGCAGGCTGTACCGGAAACTGTTGGGAGTGATAGAGTGTACGAATGGACTGAACAAACGCTGGAGGAACTTGAGGAACCGCTTTCTTTTTTTCATTTATATTTGCAATCACTTGCAACACGCCCATTTGGAATTGAAGTAATTAATTTTCATCAAATCTGTCTAGGTGCGGCAACAAGCTGTGGAAAAAAGACATTTTGCTGTTGGTTTTTTCGGGTTCCAATGCCTTCATAATTTTTAATTCAACCCTCATCAGGTTTGCGATGCTTCCTGTTTATTTAGCTCATTAATGTGTGTACTAGTAGTTTCCTCCATGTCATCAGTCTCGTGCCTTGTTTCATCATCTAAACTATCAACTGTTTCTCTAACTTCGTACAATTTATTTAAAAATTGAAGCTGATCATTAAATACATATTTCTTGGGTTTTTTTGCATCTTTTCCTACTGTCTTTTAATTTCCTTTTTAACCTAGCGAAAGCATCTCGAAGATTTGTCCAGCGTCTTACAACGTCCTTACCTAAAATATATATAAATAAACAATAAAAGGTTTTGATATAATTGTACCGTTTCTGTCTCATAATGAAATAATAAACACTAATATTTTGAGACCGGCCACTTTTTCCTATTACATTTGTATACAAAAATGTTCGCAAGTTGGTGACAAGCAATATGTAACTACATGATTCTTTTCAGATATCTGGCAAGTGGCTGTACGTTTACTGACCTACACTACACTTATCGAATTGGAATTTCTACTGCAAGTAAGATAGTAAAAGAGGTTTGCAAAGCAATCTGGGCGGTTCTTCAGGTGGAGTCTATACCTTCACCAACAAGGGAAATTTGGGAATCTATTGCTTCCGATTTTGAAACCAAATTTCCCTCATTGCATAGGGGCAGTAGATGGCAAACATGTACGTCTTACTTGCCCATTTCGCAGTGGGTCGATATATTTTAACTATAAAGACTACTATTCTGTAGTTTTAATGGCAGTTGCGGATTCGAAATACCGATTTGTATTTGTAAACGTTGGAAGCTATGGTAAAGACTGTGACTCGTCAATATTCAAAAGATCCAGTCTATGGCAATCCATAGAATCCAACACACAACCACTACCGGAAGACAAGTGTCTACCAGGAACGAAGAGTCCCAAACTTCCATACTTCTTCGTAGGGGATGAGGCATTTGGACTACATCGCCATTTATTACGACCTTTTGGGGGAACACATTTAACACCTGAGAAAAGAATTTTTAATTATCGCTTGTGCCGAGCTCGACGGTACGTCGAATGCGCTTTCGGTATCCTCAGCATTAAATGGCGAATCTTTCACAGACCTCTTAATGTAGAGCCAGATTTTGCAGTGGATATTATCAAAGCTTGCACTGTGTTACATAAATTTTGTACGCGAAAGAGATGGTTTTTTGGTGGAGGTTATTACTACAATAACAGGTTTGGAAGATCTACCACGAGAACATGCAATACGAGGGGGTATATCCGCAAATGATGTAAGGAACATATTGTGTACATATTTTGTATCAAATATTGGAAGCGTACCGTGGCAAATGTCAAAAATATAAGTACATAATGACTCTTCTTCTGATAGCAGTTCGTGAAATTATTCCCAAGAAAAACAATAATAAATAAATACATAACTAATCAATATATAGTACGAGTACGTTTAGTTATTTTTGTTACCCAAGTTGAGATCCCTAATCAGCGTCGATTATTTCATAATTTAATTCATAATCACAAATAAAATTAAATCGCTACGCTTACCAAATGCATTTTTTTCTGTATTTCCAAGCTCATCAAAATCTGATTTTATTTCCAGGAGAATCTCACGCCAGGCATTCCTTGTTGCATTCCTGTCTTTATAAATATCGAGGGTTTTATCCCATAGCACAGGTCTAGCTTCGACCAGTCAAATCAGAAATTCACCGTCAATATTTTCAGCCATTTCGCTAATAAACTAATTGCGTGCCACTGAATCCACCCTATACGACAGGTATAAACGACTACAATTCGTTATGTGTGAAAGCATTCATTTGATGCCGTTTACCACTGTTATCACGACACGACACGACCGTCGTCTATTGCAGTGGCATTGCACGGCAGCTGGACGACAACGACATGACAATATGTCGTTGTCGTGCTGTATGAAAGATCTCGTATATTTTTTTAATGCACTAAAGGAATGTGGTCGTACGTCTTTTTTCCGTACGACCAAAATCGTTACGTGTGAAAAGGAGCGTTATGGTGAGGCTCATGTCGTTGCTCTTGACATCACGAAAGCATTCGATCAGCTGTGGCACGTTGCCCTCCAGAAAAGCTTTGCAGATGGGTGGCTGACTTTATCTCTGGCCGCAAGATATCCGTCGTAATTGACGGATTCTCCTCTTCTCCCACAACGTCAACGCGGGTGTTCCCCAGGGATCGGTCTTGGCTCCGACACTGTTCCTCTTACATATCAACGACCTCCTTTCCTGCGCGATCAACCCAATCCACAGCTTCGCTGATGATAGCACTCTACATGCAGGAATTCAGAGTGACAAGCCCATCTCTGCCGCTGAGCTGGAAAAAAGACTAGCGACGACTTCTTCTCTGACAAGAGACCTGCAGGCTATCACTACTTGGGGACACAACAATCTTGTACAGTTTAATGCTTCCAAAACACAGTACTATACTTTGACGAACAAAAAGCGTCCTAGCGCTCATCTGGTTTCGATGGATGGCCGAGCTCTGCCAAAGAGCAATTCATTTCGGCTGGTCGGAGTCTAGATCACCGCCGCCGCATCCCATCCTAACCGTGTCGAACTTCGTACATCCAGAACTGGCCGATAAGACCGGTCCTTTATCCCGAGGGTTTCGAGATTGTGGAACAATCAACTAGAAGAGGCTTTTCCCAGTTCTACTAACCTGAGGCAGTTCAAAAATCGTATTAACAAAATTTCTTTGGGATCATCATAGCAGCCGCGGTGTTCCGGCATTTAGGCTTCTGCCTGCGCGGCTGCTTGGATATAAAAAAAAGGATTGGACTTAAAATAAAAAGCTATATCAAAATAAGTACTTGTTTCTGATTGTCTATCATAACTTAGGCAGCGTTATGTATAATGTTATAAAGAACTTATTATTTCGGAAATATCAACCATAAATATCTAATAGATTTATTTTTATTTTTTGTAGCAGAACATGTTTTTCTAGTAATAAAATTTCAATGTTTAATTTATTGGACTCGTATTCCATCAGTTGTTACTTCTGCCTCCTGTTCTATTTTTCTAATTTGTGCCCGATTCTTTTCTGAGAAGTTCACATTCCGTAACACACTTTTGATGCATCAGTTCAATCGATTCTTTTATGCTCCTCTTCAGCGAATCGTGTCTTTTCAGATTCCAGATTATGCTTAGCCCAGTCACTTTCCTTTTAGTGTTTCGACTTTCACCTGGAAAATAGAGTTAAGGCACTTATTATGTTTTCCCATCCACTTCATGGAAACAATACTTATGTTGCAATTATGCCCACAATAACTTTGTTGTATTGATTAGGCTACTACTTTTCTTTCCAGGGAAGCCCTACAGTGCGAGTCTTGGATGTGGGTGTCCTTAAATTTTGCACACTATTCTTTGACCAATCTGGTTTAAGTCTATTTTCCTGTCAACTCCGGAAAAAAAACATGCTAATTGAATTTTCTGTGGTATCGTGGTCGAATAAAGTAAAGGATAAACAGAGAAAGAGGTGGAAGAGAACGAGATGCCTTCCGCAAATATCCTTGCAAATCAAGAAAAAACTCCAATCTTCCCTTACGTCGATCCGCCAAAAGACGGCTTGAAACTTATAGAATTCATCGATACAAATTTACTGACCATGGTCGACATGCCTCTATTCCCCCCTACTTACTCAACTTATTTGTGGGCTCAATACGTTGATCCTGTGAATGTACCAGCTTGGCGAGGTTTCATGGAGATATGTTCGGAAAATGAAAGTTTCGAAAGTCAAATGCCAACAATTCATTAACGAAGTTCCATCTAGTCTAACAACCATTTATACATCAATTATGCATGCAAAGAGCGAAACGCGTAAATGTGGTCAAAAAACTATCTTAACTTACGACTTGCCGTTGTACATGAAATGTCGCGATATTATACCGAAGTTAATGTTGCCCGACGTTTTTGTTCGCTTAGGCGAATTCCACATGTTAATGTCTTTTTTGGGAGCAATAGGTATTATCATAGGAGGACGCGGACTTGAATCTATGTGGGAGCTTGCTTACGCTAGAGAATCGATAAAGAAAATGATGAACGGGCACAATTGTTCAAGAGCAGTCCGAGCACACATTTTAACGTTTACAGCTTTAGGCACCGTAATTTGTGATTCAATCGAAGAAAAAGGCGATATCAAAGGGATTATCGCATCACTTATGCGTGTCTGGCAGAGAAACCCTCTTAGGCTTGGGGACAATGACTCTGATAAGGACCAGAAGAAAATGTGATTTGTTTTATACAAAGTTGAAGCAATTGAAAAATAACGGCCCAACAGCCAAGTTGTGGGTGCAGTACATTGAAGCCGTGCTTATTGTCTTGCGTTTTATTGAAGCAGAACGTCTTGGAAACTGGGACCTTCATCTTGATTGCGTTCGAAGAATGTTGCCATTGTTTCATTCCGCGGGACATTTTAGTACGCAAAAGCAGCTCATAAAAAGTAATAATGAATGCAGCTTGTTTAAAATACCACACTGATGTAAGAGGAATTGGTCTTACAATACATCAACCTTGAAATGTTGTCATGGTCAACTATACGTATTATGCTTGTAGCGTTTATTTCGAATGCAAAGAAACTTTTTTAAACAAAAGAGTTGTTAGCAAGTACAAAATGAATCTGTAGCGTATACAGAACTACAACAAAATACGGATCTGTCTATCTGGAGTACACCGATCCCTCGTAATTAGTTGTGTCCTTTGCCGATATTGGGAATTTTGAAATATTACTAGATAACTAGCTGTCATTGTCCCGTGATGGATACTCGTGAAATAGGGTGTACGAGGCATCCATGTTGCATGACGTCATTATGCAACGTTTCCTATGGCACAAATTAGAAAAATAGAACAGGAGGCAGAAGTAATAACTGATGGAATACGAGTCCAATAAATTAAAAATTGAAATTTTATTACTAGAAAAACATGTTCTGCTACAAAAAATAAAAAAATAACCTATTAGATATTTATGGTTGATATTTCCGAAATAATAAGTTCTTTATAACATTATACATAACGCTGCCTAAGTTATGATAGACAATCAGAAACAAGTACTTATTTTGATATAGCTTTTTATTTTAAGTCCAATCCTTTTTTTTATATCCAAGCAGCCGCGCAGGCAGAAGCCTAAATGTCGGAACGCCGCGGCTGCTATGATGATCCCAAAGAAATTTTGTTAATACGATTTTTGAACTGCCTCAGGTTAGTAGAACTGGGAAAAGCCTCTTCTAGTTGATTGTTCCACAATCTCGAAACCCTCAGGACAAAGGACCGGTCTTATCGGCCAGTTCTGGATGTACGAAGTTCGACACGGTTAGGATGGGATGCGGCGGCGGTGATCTAGACTCCGACCAGCCGAAATGAATTGCTCGGGAAATTGGCGGCGTGTGAGGTGTATCGCATAGCCTTTGAGCATCTTTGAAACTGCTTTTGGGGGTCCTAGTTCTCGCCAAGTTGAAGTATACCTTCCTAGCTGCCCCGCTTGAAAAACTTTGACTTTCGCCATTTCCACAGTTTCTCAGGAACAGTTCGCCCAGCGTAATAAATTCAGCTGCAGTTGCCATCTGAAAATATACCACAAATTAACGCTTGCCTTGTAAGCAATTCTATTCTCAACCAGATAACTGCTCTTTCTGATTCGCCATAGGTTGGTCGAATCAAATATAAGGCCGGTCGGGCCAAATTCTGCGTCCGGTCGGGTCAGAATTAGCAGGTGGTCGGGCCAAATTCATCAGGCTTTCGGATCAATTTCTGTATCCAGTCGGATCAAGGTCCGAAGCCGGTCGGGCCAAACTGCGTAGCCGTTTGAAACATATGTTTGCATACTTGAGTGTGATTGACTCGAGCACTGATTACACGGCCATAAAACTGAATCACTGTATATATCCGTACGTCTGGGCATGGCCCGAGAGCGTAGGAAGAGATACATACATCTGAATATCGGTAGATTAGTTTGACGTGTTGAGAATCGAAAGTTACTACTATAATATCTAAAACAGACAAACAAATTACATAAAAAACTATTATGGGATAGTTTTTTATAACCTGTTGCCAGACCGTATAAAGAAACTGGATGCGAAAGTTTTTAAAAATAAAATTAATGCTTATCTGACTACTAAAGCATTTTACTCGATCAACGAGTATTTGAGCAATAATTTTTCAGACTTGTCGGATATTTTTAGCAAATATAACAGTGTTCCTACACCTGGGATCCTCTAGGCTCCTTGAACTTTCTACTAAGTCATCTGGTAAATTTTTATATCATCATTTCGTATGTCTTACCATTTTAACGTATATGTGTATATATATATATATATATATATATATATATATATATATATATATATATGTGTGTGTGTGTGTGTGTGTGTGTGTGTGTGTGTAGAAGTAAACATACGTATTGTGGTTAAATGAATATGCGTGTATCTATGTACGTATATATGTCCTGTTTTTACAACTTACATATATGGACTTGCTGTATCTGCTTTTATTGAATCATAATGTCATAAGTTGATGTTTTTCTGTCTAATTTGAACATCAGTCTTTTGTCAGACTGCTTTTTGTATTAATTTTTTTTCTTGTGTTTTTTTTGTTCCATATACAAATTATTACAACTTTGCAGAACTGTGTAGCTTTTACAATTAATATAATTTTCTAAGATCCTCAGGTTTTCCAAAGCTTATTTCACTTAGATCAACGTTTCCCAGGCATTTGATTGGGTCAAAGCTGGTGGTAAACAGTTATCACACAGTTTTGATATACCTTTAGCATTTTTTCCATTTTATCTCCCACGCCCACTGGTGGGGAAGTATTGTAATTACGAAATTTTTTGAAATTGAGATATTGTTTTTTGAATGTTATACACGTTCATCACGAAAAACCACGTCACTCATTTCCGACCGTCTATCTGTCGGTCCGCTAATCTTAGAACCTCCGATAGCTTGAGAAGTACCGATGAAATGTTTACACAATATTACTAATATGCGAAGGACGCAAAAGCGTTGTAGTTTTTGCAAATCGGTATAGTGGCGGTATAGGCCTAAAACGAAAACAGTAAAACTCGCCCAACTTCATTCTATGGCGGTTCAGAGGATCCATTTTTGAAAAAAAATGTTAGAGGTAAAAACTTGTGGAGGGCTTATCTCAATTTTTTTATGCTGGCACATTTATTCGAACGCAACATTGGTAATTCTACTCGCCTATAACACATTATTTCTCACATCATAGATTTCTCTGTATATTAACCCTGAAAACAGAAAAATTGGGTATTGGGTTTCCAGATACACTACCGGTAGGGCAGAGAAAGAACGTCTTTGGACTAATTGTATGGACCTGTTTGACCGACTTTTTTCTAAAGTCTAGTTTGTGCTGAAGATATTCCTTTATGCACTGATAAGAGCATTGCGTGGGAAGTGCAGAGTCAACCTACTTACCATTTTTTCTAATGCGTGGATAACTAGACAAGCCCTATGCAATATGTAGAGGATCCTTACTAACATTACAAATGTAAAAGAGTATGTTTGTATGATACTTTTTCGCGCTAAAGCGACTGAACCAATTTTGATGAATTTTAGCATATACAGTGAGGTTCAAATTTGTCCGACGTCGTAATTTGTACGAGAGATAGCGTCCAATATGCATGTTACAAAGAGTTCGCCGATGGAGTCCGTGGGCTCATCACTCTGGTTGCTAGACGTATTGCATATCGTATACGTATACATTACGTCTTCAGTGGTATTATGGGTTTCACTGTATATAGATTAAACCTTGGAGACCGACATATGCTACCTTTTGTTGCGAAAATTAGACGAATGGGTTGCAAATGGGGTAAAAACATTTTTTAAAGCTAGGTATACAGATATGGGCTTCATTTATGCTTGGTTCTTTGAGTGTAAATGGGTACTAACAAAGAATTTTTGTGAATTCCATCCCTAAGAGGGTAAAGTGAGAATTGACACTTCAAGTTTTTGCAGAGAATTTAGACTATTTCAAATGAATCCAGGCTAAAAGTGTTTTGTCTTCAATACTATCTTTAAAACAGTATCAAAGAATTTCAGAAATTATATTATACGGAGTGGGATGGCGTTGAATGTTTCTAGGGCAGTGGTCGCCAACCTGTCGATCGCGAGCTACCGATAGCTCGCAAAGGCAGTTCTGGTGGCTCACAACGTATTTTAAAAAGGTGTAAAAATCATAGAAGCTTCAGTAAATTTTGTAAATTCTCATAATAAACACAAGCAGCGGCGGTGAGCGATCTGGTCGAGGACAATCTCGATTACTTACTTACGCAAGGCGCGGCGACAGTGCGCTCAGTTTAAAAGTGTACGGCACAAAGTCCAGCGGTTGGGTTAGAGTTGGCCTGCAGTTAAAAACATTATGAGCAGTATAAGAAGATGAAGGCATACCATTTCCATTCGGAATGGGAAGAACAATATTTCTTTACAGAAGTTAAAGGTAAACATTTGTTTGTTATGTAATACATCTATTTCCGTTGCTAAAAAAGGAAATATCGAGAGGCACTATAAAACTGTACATTCGAATTTTGAAAAATCATTCCCATTACGTTCTGCAACTACAACGGAAAAACTGAAACAATTAAAAAATCAGTTAATTGGACAATTTTTAGAAGTTGCAGATTTATTATTTACCAATTTTAAAAATAAAGACGAGATAGTGTCTGCTATAAAATCTATGCAACTTTCTGCTATAATACAGTATGATATAGTTTTACAATTAAGAAATGACTTGATAACTGTGCTTATTTTTCACTGCAGCTGGATGAATCGATGTCGTTGACACCTCTCAGTTGGCAGTGTTCGTCAGGATGGCTTTCAGTGATTTTACGATTAAAGATTTTTTGAAGTTTATTCCACTAAAAAGACAGACTACTGGGCAGAACTTGTTTTCTCCTTTTAAAAATATTATTTCTTCTGAGAAAATTCCAATATCGAAAATAGTAGGCTTGACAACCCATGGCGCTCCAGATGGGTCGTGATAATGGTCTCGTGGGGTTATGTCTTAAAGATGAATGTTTTCCGCAATTTCTCTGTTATCACTGCTTTATCCATCAGGAAGTATTATGTGGACATTTTCTAAAGCTGAACATTATGAAATTGATAGTAAAAATTGTGAACAAGATAACAGCTCAAGCGTTACAGATAAGATTATTCAAAACCTTGGCCGATCAAATTGTCTGTCAATACGGGGAACTACTACTTCACTCTGAAGTCCGATGATTAAGTAGGGGACGAGTGCTGAAACGTTTTAATGATATCAGATCTGCCATAGTTCAATTTTTCAAACAAAGCGATGAACCGATTACGGAACTGGAAAATTCAATCTGGCTTAGAGATTTTGGTTTTCTTGTGGAGATTACAGAAAAATTAAATGAACTTAATTTGCAGCTTCAGGGGAGGGACAAAGAACTAGCAAAAATGATTTCTGATATAAATCGTTTATCAAAACACTCTAGTTTTTTTTGGGAACAAAACTTAATCGATGGCGATACCAGGCATTTTCCTGTTCTTTCAGAAAAGATATCTCAAAGTCTATAGAACCATGTAGAAATAGTCTCTAACTTGTAGGATAACTTCCAAAATCGTTTCAAGGATTCCAACTAAATTGCTGTCGTGGCGCAATTTGTTGTTTCACCATTAATGGAAATTGATATCCAACAGTTTGGAACTTATACGCAGAATTTTAACGAAGACATCGCTGCGACAGAAATGGAAGTGATTGCATTTCAAAATGATTTAGGTTTAAAATCATTAGTCTCAAATAAAAATGTATCTAGCCTTCAATAAGTAAAGATAAATATTCAGTTATTTGGTTCAACCTATTTGTGTGAATCTTCTTTTGCAAATATATATATTAAAAACAAATACCGTAATCGGCTTACAGATGAACATTTGAATAATTGTATTCGAATGGCGGTATCAAATTATACTCCAAAATTAAAAAAATTGTCAGCGAGTGTGTCAGGCTTCTCATTGGGCACGCATGTTTTATCTGGACATGTTTTTGTTTAAAATAGTGCGTTGCTTTTTTATTTTTAGTTTTTATTAAATCGTATGTGACATGCCATTGCAGCTGACGAAAACCTACGATTGGTAGGAATGGATGTAGTTATGTAGAATGTATTAGTTATTAGTTTATTTAAGTTTATTAGTTTGTATTAGTATTAGTTAAATAAACATGTATGTCGCATATAACTGTATATAATTTCATTTAATTTGGCTTACATTGCTTACTAGGTAGCACATTGTTTATTCCAAAATTATCAAAGTAGCTCAACACACTGAAAAGATTGTCGACCACTGTTCTAGAGGAACCTTATCACTGTTCAAGTTTATAGAAACATATCTCCAACAATATTTGACCTATATATGAACATAAAATTTGGCAGAGGTAGTTTATGGACAGGACGTCAACTGAGAACTAATTGTGCGATAGAGCTATCACGGTGATCTCGAAAAAAACTATTTGACCTATGAACATGCTAAATTTGGAAGCTAAGGACATGTCAGTAAGAACGGATTTCACAACACGGCCGGATTAGGGAGCTAACGACAATTATATACACAAGCGAAAAAATACACAGAAATTACGAAATCTCGGGCACTATTTAACCTATGAAGATGACATTTAGTAGAGATGTACGAGTTCATGGAGAAGGAATATGAGCTAAACACGCATTTCGCAACAGGGCTATAGATTAAGGAGGCTTAGAGAAAATATAATACATACTATTCACGGAATTTGGGAAATTATTTGACCTAAAAACATGAACTTTGGCAGGGAGGTAGCTTATGGACAAAATATTTCAGCTAAAAGCGATTTTGTGACAGGGCCGGATTAAGGTGCCCTTTAGGCACTTGCAAGATTGTTTGAAATTGTTTGGTGTTTTCAGAATCTAAAAATGGTCAATGATGAGGCTCTGTTTTGAGTAGACTTGAACTAAGAAAGGAGTGTGTAACTGGAAATATGGCAGAGGTAACTTTTACAATGTAAAATTCACTTCAATTTAAAATGCTCACTTCAAAGAATTGGTAATGATTGGTTAACCAAATAATAACCAAATTTTCCAAGTATGCAAGTTGACTGTCAATTTACTAACTAATGCAATGTAGTTATCGCAATATTCAAAAACAACGTTATATGTTAGTGACAATTTAACGCGTACGAAGTGGCGGGTAACAGGCTAGTATAATATAAAAACAATCGCTTCCAGAACAGTTGATTTATTTCCCGCCTCATTCCATGATATAAACAAAAATGTACAAAAAAATCAAATAAAAATACAACTGGTACATATTGGCGAATGTATCAAGTTTTTTGTGTACAAATTACATTGTGATTGACAGAGTGTACATCAAGATTACTTAATAGCACCCAAAATATAATACCAATAATTTTCCATTCACACAAACATTATCTGATGGAAAATCAAAAAATACCCAAGAAAAAACTACAGAGAAACAAACTGTTCCGTTTTTTATTTTTACGAATTTTTTTATCCGTTTTTTCTAATTTTTGTTTCAGTTTTATCTTCTGCCCTTGTTTCAAAGATGGAAAAACAAAAGTTAGATGTTTCATTTATCATATTTTTTTGATACGACACGCAACTCATGTTGTTAGAAAGTCACGCATCGAATTTTAACATGTTTTTTCTTCAAATTGTTATGGAAAAAATCACCGCAGCTAGACATAAGGTCTTAAGACGTTTCACACACCGAGCGATACTCAAAAAAAATTCTAACCGGAGTTTGAACCCCACTTTCCCTCAAGCACGTCAACTACAGGCTACCTAAAACATTTTACAAATTATACGCTCCTACAAACATCAAAGTGAATATAAAAGTATCAAAAATGTATTTTTTCATTTCTGATTTTCAACCAGAGAGGAAGTGAAATGCAACAAACTCCGTATATGTTCACGAAAGACGCCACACGTTAAGGGAGATACTACTAAGTTGACAAAAATCTATGTTATACATATATATATATATACATATCATTAAAAGTAAATCGTGATCTAAGTGCTGTGAAACGCCTTTTGTCTGCTATAGTATTATAGTATGTTTTATTTATATAATAATTCACGCGCTAAACAGTGGTTGTTATTTAAAAGAGATATTAGATAAACTAAGGTTGACACTTGAGCGCATTGTGATGTTTCACGTGGCGCGCTTAAGCACTGCTTTCTGTTGTTGTGTTCTGCACCGGTTGACTTTCCTGGAATAGAAACACAAATTTTGATTAAAATGAATACATACCTGATTAAACAAAAAAAATATATATATATATATATATATATATATATATATATATATAATCACATAAATTAATGGTGAACATCAAATAAGCTTTACACTTCACTAAGGCAAATTCAAACAAATTCTCCCACTTTTCTGATGTCTTACAAAACAGCAATATCATTAAGTGATTGATCATGGACCCAGATGCTATAAACTCATGTTTATATCAAAGATCACCAACAGTAAACTACAGTTGCCTATCAGCAGCCTGTCGCAAACAAATAGAAAAAAGTTCTTGATATTGGTGAAATATGATGATGTCGGCGTTGAATCGACGTCTCCGTGAAAAATGTCTTGAGATCAAGCCAGTCGTACCAACCGAGTAAAGTATTTAAAAACCACTTGAGAATTGACCCGCACTTAAATTATGAAGGAACTATAATGCGCCCTTCAGGGACCCTAAAGTGGAGATTTAACACTTCACAGTCGGCTGTATCAGTTGACATCACAGATTATAATCAATGACTAAAGCAGTACTGCAAAATGCAACACTTGTTGTCGGACACGTTTGACAGTTTGAGAGTAATATGCAGTTTGAAAATTTTCAATATTGTACTCACAACCCGCAAAATCAATCGACAGTTCAAGGGTCAAGTTTTATTAAACTTCATTCAAAATTATGAAAGTAAAACCTTCGTAAGTTTTTATTAACAAACTGTGATGTAACTGAGTTTGATCCATGGATTTGTAGGGGTAGATACGTGTAATGGAATCGGGATCTAACATTTCGGCTATGGTCTGGAACCAAAATAGGATACAGTAGGATAACACATTGTACACCACTGCTAAGCTTTGAATACGGCGAGATCCGCGGCAGCGACTTTGCCCACGCTATCAGTGGCATACGAAGTGTTATGCTACTCTCTTCCGTTTTGGTACCTGATTGTCTTACATAACAGCAACAATTCTCAACAGACTTCAGATAAACCTTGACTTCCAGGAGAAACAATTTCATGGAACATCTTCGGGGAACTAAGGGCAAAATGAGGCTGTCTCAGTGCACCGTGCAATAGTGGACGAAAGCTCAGCACATAACATATCGAAGTGAAAGATTCTCTACAAGTATGTTGAAGATTGTTAGCCTTAGATAAAAAAAAACATTGTTCGCTCAACAAAACTGAAGAGAATAGCATAACACGTCCTACACCGCGCTAGCCTGCCTGAAGAGCGGAAGTGAGGGAGGTTAGGCATAATATTATTACGTATATATGATAATAAACAATTCCTCGACAAGGAAGAGGGGCAGGGTGGGGCGGGGGATTAGACACGTGTAATCTGAACGAAACTATAAACGTCGAGCCTCGAAAACGCGTCTTGATGACTCATTGGGCTTCTACATCCTGTAATGTACGAGTATTCCTATCACTGCCACTTATATACACGTTCACACATTTTTTGCAGCTCTAGGTTTTTGTCGTTGTTAAAATTCTAAATGAAAATACTATATCTCACTTATCCAGTCAATCGGTAAGAGGCTGAAGAGAAATTACTGCATCTTGTACTCTACTTAAACGCATAAATTTCAAAAATTCATTAATATGCATACGTCGGTGAACGCCACAACTACAAACGAGCTTACTATTCGAAATCGACTGGCCTATCACTGAGAGTGAGACACTGAGGACGTCCAAATATTAAAAGAAGATCGCCCGCATCAACGGTGCGGCGGCTGGTGATATGTGTACGTCCTCGACCCCGCAACCTGCAAGCCCCTCGCCACAAGCAAGCTGTAGCGCGAAAACTAAGCAATTTAGCAAAAAAATTGCAGTGACCTATTTCGATGGCCAAAAAATTAGAAAGTTTACGTTTACCACGAGCTGTCGGCATTCTCCATTGATCGTAATTCCGGGCATTGTATAATTTTATACTGAAGACATAACAGGACAACTCAAAGTGCACGCCGATGTCAAGTAAGTTGTCACTCTGACAAATATGATTGAAGGGCACTCATACGTAACGACAATGTTTTCGAGACGGAGACACACAACTAAAAAACGTACTAGTATGTCTTTGAGCTTACCGAACAAACGTTCACACAGAGGGGTAGGTTGCATGTGTATGTATGAGAGAGAAGGATGTATGAAAGCAATAAATGTAGTTTTAGTTTGAACCGCCAAAAATCGTGAAAAGAACTACGAGCCCCTTCCCACTTCAGTTGGCCCACTTCAAGATTTGTGCCCAAATATGCCTTTATAAACTAAACATGACGAAACTAATTACTTCTAAAACAATTTATTTTCTCAAAAACATTTCAGATACACTCTAGTCGTAAAAAATACATATTTGAAATCACTTAGACCTATAACTAATAGAACATCTGAACAAATAAACAATGTGCGAATAATTGCGCGAAGTTAACAAATAAACAATTCAAAGATTACCATTGGGTAACATCACCTTTATTTTTTATTACGGCTGAAATTCTTTGGGGCATAGTGTTAACCAAGTTTTGGCAAAAATTTGATGTAAAACAATCCCATATTTCTTCAAACTTTTGTCTCAGTTCGGTGATTGTACGAGCAGGATGTTGTCGTAGAACCTTCTTCATCTCGTGCCACAAAGTTTCAATAGGTCACAGATCTGGACTGCTAGAAACCCATTTCAAAAGTGGCACATTATTTTCTTCCATCCATTTTATAGCCTTTTTTGAGGTATGGCATTCTGCACCATCTTGCTGAAACAAAAATCTTGGCCGGATGTCAAACATTCTTCCATCACTGGTAAAAGCGATTCTTCTAAAATTGCCAAATATTTGTTTGTATCCACATTTCCATCAATAAAATGAAGTTTTCCTACTCCTTTTGATGACATACTACCCCAGACCATAATGGATATTGGAAATTTCTCTTTTCTCTTCAGACAGTCAACATGGAATGCTTCATTTTTTGCAAATAACTCTACTGCGAGTGTCACCAACACAAACTTTGAATCGGGCCTCATCACTCCATTGTATTGCACACCATTGTTGAGGTGTCTATTGTCTATGTTCTTTAGCCCATCTAAGCTGATTTTTCGTTTGAAAGTGGAGTTAATAGTGGCTTTTATTTGGCCTATAAACAAGCTGAGCAACTTTAGGGTTTTTACTTCACTTTTTTTTATAAGAAAACTTACCTTGCAAGTGCTGAATCCCAGTTTGTGGGCCTCTCTATGAGTTGTGGACCTCGAAATTCTCCTGCCAACAGCGTCACTCCACAGAGCACTTAACTGTGAATAATTGGCACGCCTGTTTTTCACAATTAATCTTCTTAATGCTCTTCGGACGGCATTTGTGATATTACTTTTTTCACATATCGTGGCTTAATATCAACTGAACCAGTTACGTTATATCTTCTAACAATATCTCTCACACTGTACCGCGATAAGTCTAACAAAGTTGCAATTTCTGAGTTTGATTTCCCAGAATTAAAAAATTTAATTATCAGTAACCAAATTTTCTCACTAATAACCTTTCCTCTACCCATTTTGAAAACCTTAACTACCCAAAACTATTTTAAACGTATTCTGACAGCTGTGATTAATAAAAACAATTGTCATGGCTTTTATTTTTCACAGCCACCTATGCGTTATAGACTTATTTTGCATTGAAATGAAAATAGGTTGATATGCTGTAATTGCAACATGTGTTATTTTTATGCTGCAAATTTGATTAGGGAGTGATAAAGTTGGTGTTTTCTACTATATATTATCAAATATTCATTGTTAATATTTTAAACCTATAACACCCTGCTACATTTTTATTATTTGTGTCGGATAAGAAAAAAACTATGATTTCAATAGTTGGGCCAACTGAAGTATGAAGGGGCTCGTATGTATATACATGATCATGCAGCATGCATTCACTAAACATAAAAGGGGACAGGATCACATAAAATGTATTATTTAGCACAATTACTTACTTCTGCTGTCCTTTCGGTTGCGGGTGCAGTAGTGGTAGCAGGGACGGATTCGGGAGCCTACAGGAACATACAAGAAAAAATAGTGGGTTGTCGAAAGTGCAAAATTAGAAGGGGAAATGGTGCAAAAGTGCAAGGTAATCTACGATCCGAATGCCAGGCAGTGATCTTGGTGTCAAGAAAGTATGGAACTACATAAGAGACAACTGAAAAATAGCATGCAATAGTGGGTGTTCCCCATACAACTGCAGTGATCGATTACTCAAAAACTTGATGTAAAGTCAATTATGAAAACTTGGTTTTATAGCATAACTGATGTTAGAAATTCGGCTGAAATATTTTCAAATTGGCAGAGCTTCTGGGTGTACTTGAAGTCGATAACAACTTCCACTTTTCAGATAGGTATCAAATATTTTGTTCACAAATGCAAGTCCATAAATGCCTATAAATTTTTTTCTATATGTTTGTCTTTGTCGAACAATTAGTAGCTCCTTGCTTATAGAAGGGTCTCTACTTTAGTAGACAATTCGATATTTTGCTAATAAAAAAATTCTATGAAAAAAGTAACAGCCTTCTAAAGAAATGGAAACCACGTGCTTTTATAATCTCATCATGTTAAGCGACAAAAATACAGATAGTTTTGTATAAGCTTATCTACTTCGCAAATTAGTAGTTTAGGAAACATTTGCGAGTACTTGTTCTCTAACAATCCATACTGCTTTTTATAGTCAGCTCAGCATGGTTGGCTATGGCGCAGTGATTTATTAAAAATGTTTCATTATGTATAGGTTTTTCATGTGGCGCAAAAAAAATTAAAAAAGTACGTTACTAATTGGATTATCCACTATTACTTAGTTGCGGTAATTAAACAAAAAACAAATATTAATGATCATAAGTTTATTATCCATGGCAAAGGTCTTACTAAGAACAATTACCTATATTATTATCTGTATCGTCACAAAACTTCAATAAGCAAGAAATGAGCAATCAAACGAGTTTCGGGGCAGCGAAATTATACTTTTTTCTCTTTAGGTTCAATGCTTGCTCCACATTATGAAAAATCGATACATTTTTAATAATTCATCGCGCTAGGTCCAACCATGCCGAACTAAGCAAACAAAAGCCGTATAGATCAACAGAAAACTAGTCTTGGCAAATATTTCCTGAACTAATAATTTGCGAAGTCAAATTGACTTTTGGGTTTTCTTACAATTTGATTTTCAACCATTTTTTTGACCACCCTATTATTCTAAAAGGAAGCAGTTACAAATCGTTCGACGTTGCTTTTGTGATTTTTCACACAAAATTTGATATATCTCAAAAACGTATATTATTAGTAGTAGTAGAGGTATATTTAAAATCTTGCCTGGAATAGTGTATAGGGTTGTTCCATTCAAAATAAGCAAGTTGGTATATACTTGCGGTACAACCGGAAATGACACCATGAAAATATTTTAGCCTAATTCCTCACATCAATTATACCACATCAAGTTTTCATAATATTGTCTGACGTCAAGTTTTCAAGTAATCGGCCGTTACAGTACTACGAGAGACAGGTATATTTGTCTCAAAGCTACAGGAATGAACTTCTAGTGAGTGAAAACAAACTCATAAGATTTGGATTAAAATAACTACATACAGCTTAAAAAATCATCTAAATAAAAAACGACATTTTTCAAATGTCTATTATGTTCAGCCCACATTAGTGAATGCTAGAATAGGCAACAATGCTAAATGTACAAACATAATTTATTTATAATAAAGTCTGTTTTGTTTTTCAGATACTTTAAGAATTTTTCAGATTCATTTTGTATCGATAGCGAAGCTAGACAAAGTAATTAGAAGAAGAAATCTACTACCAATCAAAAACAGTAGACTAATCGACAAAACTGTAGAATAGTAGTAATGTGCAGATGCAAGATTTGATTCCAATATTATTTTGTCATTTGAGGATTTTTAAAATACCGTTTTGCTACGAATATACTGGCCCCAAAACATGCCACTGGAAATTTTATTTCGTTGTCAAAAATAACTTCTGAACATAACTGTGTACACAATCCACCGAAATGGTGACAGCATAGTAACCAGGGATGGCGCCCATGGAAAACAATGAAACCATCTGGATTGTCAGAAACTGGCTGGCCCTAACACAGTATATTATTGCCATTTTCATAATAATTGCTCAAAATAAATATTTTTAAAGACTAATCCTTCAGTTGAAAAAATGTATTGTTTAATTTCGGTAAAGATGAACGGTTTTTTAAACGCTTGCTTCAATACTGTTATCGACTTCCGCTGCAGATAAACAATAGTAAACACTGGACAGAACTGAATCTTGGTTTGGCGATCTGCAAATTCGTATACGAAGACTTTTCAAGTAGCTGCCTGCGAATCTGTTATCAAAATTACTGTCTTTTCAAAATGGCGGAACCAGTATTCGCCATGGGCGAAGTGCATTCTCAAGGAAACTAAAGCGATCTGAGTACACGCGGTGGACAAAAGAAATATCGTCGGCCTGACAATGGAATATAGGCCTGGTCTCTATGCTGAAATATATCGGGTTTTTCGAACAACGAATTTCTGAGGGTCGCGATCGCTCATTTAGACTAGAACAGATTAGCTTAGCAAATAACTAGGCAACATGATAATTTAAATGGACGACTATTTGACAGGCACTGATAGCATTGATTGATGTATTCTACCTGAAGATAGCTAATGACACTATATTTGGCGTTCAAAAAAAGGATCAAACATGAGATATCACATCGTTATCTATGAGATTTTGTTGTTTTTCCTACCTGCACAGGCTAGAGTACCATCTATGAGACACTAACCCTTTCCAAGAAGAATTATAATTATTGCAGGGGAGAAGCATACCTATGACAAATTCTCACAGATGTGCCAAAATATTTTATTCCATGTTGGACAATTTTTTGAATACGCAGAATGGTTGGTCATCTTCAGAACAATATATATACAGGGTGGTCCATCCATGTGCGGACGGAATATTACTCATGAACAAATACATTTTGGAAAAATCTATTTATGAGATGTTATACATGACATTTGAGGGCACATTCCTAAAATATTGGCCATTATTCAGGGTGTCCCAATTTTGACCTACATATCAAAGTTTTGATTATTCAAATGGAATGCCCAAAATTTTATTGCATATTTGGATAAACCAATTCAAAAGAAGAAAATTGATATAACATACTATGGTGTTCTGGTAATTAGCTACTGCGATATAAAGTGTTTTGTCTAGAAGAATCCCCCACTTCGCTAACCCCTCAGTCCGCCATTTTGAGATTTGGATTGCTGAATTTTGTATCAAAAAAAACTTACAAACCTCAGCTTTTATCTCAATTTTTAATTTTTGCTCATACACGGTGGTCCAAAACGCATATTGTAGTGTTTGTCAAAAATTTCAAATGCATCACCCTGTATATTTGTGCAAGTTTGGGTTCAATTTTTTAGAAGCTTTTTTGCTACTAGACACAAGGGTTTTTACGACTATTTTTTCGGTTATTATGGAACGGCTTAATTCCCTAAAATATCGCATCATCCTTGGAAACAAATAAATTGTTGATTAGTTACAAACTGTCAAAATTAGCTTTGTGAGCATTATAATAAAAACGTGTTTGAAAATGAATTTTTCTAAAGAAGAAATGGTGAATATGGTGTTCGTTTTTGGGCGAAGTCCAAAGAAATAGTTTCCTAGCATCTCGCATTTATAAGCAACGGTACCCTTATATGCGACATCGAAGGCCGGAAACATTTTCCACACTATGAGAACGTTTTGAATCAAGTGGAGCAGTGGAGTATAGTACAAAATGTATAAATAATCCAAGTGTCACCAATGAGGCAAATCAGTTGGAGGTTCTATTAAAGTTGCAGGAAAATCCCCATTCAAGTGCACGGCAAATTGGAGCAGAAACTGATTATGCAGAACTTCTGTCCAACGGATTATTCACAAGCATAGGTACCATCCATGCCACCTATGCTTGCATCAAGGCCTTCGTCCTAAGGATTTTGCAGCTCGAATGGAGTTTAGAAGACTAATGCTAAACAAAGTGAGTGAAGACACTACTTTCCTGGATAAGGTTCTTTTTAGTGATGAGGCAACTTTCAACAGGATAGGTGTTGTCAACAGGCATAACATGCACTATTATGCTACGGAAAACCCTTACTGGGTTAGGCAAATAGATTTCCAAAATAAATGGAGCTTGAATGTTTGGGGAGGAGTTATTCTCAAACAAGTTATCGGGCGTTTCTTTTTCGACAACAGATCAACAGGTACAGAATACTTGAATTTTTTGATCGAGCATTTGCATTTGCTTTTGGAGGATGTCAACCTGCAAACTCGGATGCATAAGTACTTCCAACATGACGGCGCACCTGCGTATCATCATAATTAACTATTTGGACACCTGGAGTAACAATCGTTGGATCGGTCGTGATGGGCCTATATCTTGGCCTCCTAGATCACCAGATATGATACCGATGGACTTCTTTCTATGGGGCTACGTTAAGCAAGAGGTTTATAGATATCCACCATCTACCCCGGAAAATATGAAGGAAAGAATTAAGGATGCTTTTCTGAACATAAGGGAACACATGCTGAGGGATGTGCATCGGTCATTTATCCAAAGACTACTTCTGTGTATTCAACATGGTGGAAATATTTTCGAGCAGGTTTTGTAGATTAGGTCTTGAGTAGTGATAGTTGTTTGTTTATGTTGTTGTTATAGTTTTTTTTTTCTATATTATGCTTGAAGCTGATTTATACTGTTCTGATTGTTATTAGTTTTTACGTAAAATCTGTACTCTTAGTGGCAATATGGAACTAGCCCACTTTTGGTCTTTTGTTTCCATGAATGATGTGATTTTTTTCATTAATTTGTGTGTTGTTCTATTAAAAGCTTAATAACTCAAAATCTAGTGATTTTATCTGAATCAAACCTTATACCAAAAAAACGCTTATAAAAAATTGAATCCAAACTTGCACAAATATACAGTGTGATGCATTTGAAATTTTTCAGAGAAACTACAATTTGCGT